AAATTAAGGTATCTCAATGTCTTATGGCTGAATTGAAGTGAAGTGGGGTGAGGCTTTGCACTTGTTTTTCTGAGAGTTAAGGGACCGTGTATTCTAGTGAAGGGTGTGTGTTACTTCGCGTGTTTTGTTTTGTTGATTATTGCGCGCTTTGTCTTCGTTCTTTTCTCCAAACTTTATTCTGATTTATGCATTTTCTTAACTTTTTTTAGTGATGTTAGTTGTGGCTCTTGTATTGTCAGAATTTAATGTTGTAAAATCAATTATTTGCAGGCCTATTCTCATGGATAAGTGAAGAAGAATTTAATTTAAATTCCTCGTGCACTCAAAGAACCATCATAGATTTCATGAATCTATTGATGGTCTTTGTTTATTACTTGATCTTGACTGTGGGTTCTCAATGTAAAAACAATTTCAGACAGCATAGATGGGATTGTATTACAAAAACAATTTTGATTTGCTGTGTTCTTACAAGCATTGAGTATTTGGGGGCTGGTTTATATATTGTTATTGCCAAAGATAATGGATTTAGTCATCAAAACTGGTTAGCATACTTTGTTAGAGGACTAATTTGGATCACCCTTACGGTGTCTGTGCCAGTACAAGGATTAAAGTGGATTGATGTTCTGAAATCTGCATGGTGGATTCTGTATTTTCTGTTGATTTCAGCGGTAAATATTGAAGATTTATTCAAATCACACGACATCCAAATCCTGGAAATTACACCCTGGATTGTGAATTTGTTGCTTTTCTTGTATGGTTTAAGGTTTCTGTATGGGGTAGTATTTCATCCAAACTCAGCCAATAGTTTGTTAGAACCTCTGATTCATGAAGTGTTTGATAAAAGCCAGATGAATGTTGGGGAAGTTAGTTTTTTAAGTAGATTGTCATTTTCTTGGATAAATTCTCTACTTCGATTAGGTTATCGAAAATCTTTAGTTCTTGAAGATATTCCTTGTTTGGGATCTGAGGACGAAGCAGTTTTGGCTTACGAGAAATTCAATCATGAATGGGATTCACTTACAGGGAAAGGCTCGGATAGTTCGGATAACTTTGTTTCTTGGGCTATTGCGCGAATTTATTGGAAAGATATGGTATTTGCTGGAATCTGTGCATTGATTAGGACAATTGCTGTTATAGTTGCTCCATTGTTGCTATATGCTTTTGTAAATTATTCGAATAGTGAAACAAAAAATCTCTACAAGGGTATTTTGTTGGTGGGGTACTTGGTTGTGGCTAAGGTGTTTGAGTCTCTATCTTATAGACATTTCTTTTTCTCCTCAAGAAGGATTGGTATGAGAATGAGATCAGCTCTGATGGTGGCAGTATACAAAAAGCAGCTCAAGCTTTCGAGTATTGGGAGAGTAAGGCACTCGACCGGTGAGATAGTGAATTATATAGCTGTTGATGCATATCGAATGGGAGAATTCCCGATGTGGTTTCATATGGGATGGAGTTTTGTACTCCAAATTTTTCTTGGGGTTGCTGTACTTTTTGTGGTCGTGGGATTTGGAGTGCTTCCCGGTTTAGTCCCTTTCCTCGTAAGCGGGCTTCTTAACGTTCCGTTTGCTAAGTTACTTCAAAAGTGTCAAACTGAATTCATGATTGCTCAAGATAAGCGACTAAGATCAATGTCCGAAATTCTAAACAATATGAAGATAATTAAGTTGCAATCATGGGAAGAGAAGTTCAAAACCTTGCTAGAGTCATTTAGAGGGCTTGAATTTAAATGGTTAGGAGAATCTCAGTATAAAAAGACCTATAACACTGTGTTATATTGGATGGCTCCAACTATAGTTTCTTCTGTCATCTTTTTCGGATGTGTACTTTTCAGAAGCGCTCCATTTGACGCTAGTACCATTTTCACAGTGTTGGCAGCATTAAGGACCATGTCGGAACCTGTCAGGGTTATACCCGAGGCTCTTTCCATTTTGATCCAGGTTAATGTATCTCTCAAAAGGATAAATTTGTTTCTACTTGAAGATGAACTCGAAGAAGTGGATTTGTCAGGGCGTTCTTCAGGAGATTTAAGCCACAGTATTTGGATACAACAGGGTGAGTTTAGTTGGGATACAGAGTCAGCAACTCCAACCTTAAGAAATATAACCTTGGAAGTAAGACCGGGGCGGAAGATTGCAGTTTGCGGGCCAGTTGGTGCTGGAAAGTCATCACTTTTGTCTGCTATACTTGGCGAAATCCCAAAGAGATCTGGAATTGTAAGCCAATGACTAAGAACTTTCTACAATGGTATGCAATTTTTCTGACATTGATTCCACTGATTTTTGCATCCAGGTGAATGTCTTTGGATCCGTTGCTTATGTTTCACAAGCTTCTTGGATCCAGAGTGGGACCATTCGTGACAACATTCTCTTTGGAAAGCCAATGGATAAGACCAAATACGAAGAAGCCATTCGAGTTTCTGCTTTAGACAAAGATATTGATAGTTTTGACTATGGTGATCTTACAGAGATAGGTCAGAGAGGCCTCAATTTGAGTGGAGGACAGAAGCAGAGAGTTCAACTTGCTCGGGCTGTCTACAATGATGCGGATATCTATCTTCTTGATGACCCTTTTAGTGCAGTCGATGCTCATACAGCCACAACTCTATTTAACGTAAGGCTATCATAAATGTGTATATGTCAACGATTATGCTAAAAATCTTGCTTTACATATTTTTTTACATGGTACCATGTTGAACCAACTCATCGAAAAGCTTAAAGTTGTTAGAGCAAGAATATATTTATTTATTTAAGATTTATCTTCAAACACGTCCACATGCAGACCAAGCCTCAGCCTGGTATAGATTAAAATCAGATTTTTAATAGATTCTAATCAAATTTGATGAAATGTGTGGTTGAAAAGTTGTGGATCCCGTAAAAAAATATGTGTAACATTAATTGTTGATTTTGACTTGAAATTAAAGAATTTAATCTACACCAAACAGGGGCCAAGGCCAAATAACATGTTAAACCACCTTATTGAAAATCTTAAGCTGTTAGTATGATAATAGATTTATTTTGCCTTTGACATGCAGGAATGCGTCATGACTGCATTAAAGAAGAAGACGGTTGTTCTTGTGACTCATCAAGTCGAGTTTCTCGCAGAGGTCGATATCATTCTGGTAATGAGTCACAACGATTTACTGCAGGCATAAACATTTTGCTCGCGCAAAAGGATTACATTTGATCCTCAGTATTTGCTTAAGTAATTTGGTTATTTGTTTGTCTTAGGTTATGGAAGATGGACAAGTTATCCAATCAGGAAACTATAAGGAGCTTCTGATGGCTGGATCGACGTTTGAAAAACTTGTGCATGCTCATAAAAATGCAATGTCAATGCTTGATACGTCATCTAGTGCGAACAAACAAGAGTCTCAGGCGGTGCAAACCAATAAGTCTTTCATTTGTAAAGAAGAGAGAGAAGGGGAGATTTCCACTAATCTCGGGGTACAATTGACAGAGGAGGAAGAGAAGGAAATTGGTGATGTTGGGTGGAAGACTTTCTTTGATTATGTTTCCATTGCCAAGGGATTGAACTTTTTATGTTTGACTACAATCAGTCAGACAGGTTTTATAGTTCTTCAAGCTGCAGCTAGTTTCTGGCTAGCATTTGCTATTCAAATCCCTAAGATAAGCAGCGTTGTCGTTGTTGGCATTTACACTCTAACTTCATTTCTTAGTGCTGTCTTCGTATATTTGAGATCTCTATTTGTAGTTCATTTAGGACTAAAAGCTTCTCAAGCCTTTTTCTCTGGTTTTACCAATTCGATTTTCAATGCTCCCATGCTCTTCTTCGACTCCACCCCAGTTGGAAGAATTTTAACCCGAGTAAGATTTTCTCCATATGTCACAATGAAAAGTAAGAATGTACTATAAATAGCACACACAAGTATTTTACTCATTGTTACTGTTCTTCGCGGGCAGGCTTCATCAGATTTGAGTGTACTAGATTTTGACATTCCTTTTGCCTTCGTTTTCGTGCTGGCTTCTGTACTTGAGCTGCTATCAACAATTGGCATTATGGCCTCAGTCACCTGGCAGGTTCTGTTTGTGGGCATATTTGCCACAGTAGCTTCAAAATATGTCCAGGTAAGCTTATAATCTCAGATTACATTTATTTCTATTGACTAAGGAACCAGTTTATTGGGAGTCGGGATGATACCTGTTGGATCATGTGCAGCTAAATCATATCTTGACTTTAGATCAACCTAATATTCCTATCATATATAAAGGCTTCTGGGTAGGGGAAGCGGAGGTCTTTTTTGAGTAGACAAGACACTGGAGTGTGAAAAAACTAAGAATCTCCTTGTTCATTATAGTGAAAAATTTGCAGCGATGAGAAGACATAGCTCTTATATTGAGGGTGAACCACTCTAAATCTGTGTGTTTCCTATGTGTTCTAAATTTTGTCTTTCTATTATTTCTTCGGAATTAGGGATTAATGTTTAATCCATAACACTAATTTTCGGATGAAGGGATACTATCAACCCTCCGCTAGGGAGCTAATGAGAATCAATGGAACCACAAAAGCTCCGGTCATGAATTATGCATCCGAGACAGCACTAGGAGTTGCCACAATAAGAGCATTTACAATGGTAGACAAGTTCTCTGAGAACTACCAAAAGCTCGTAGACACAGATGCAAAAGTTTTCTTTTTTTCGAATGCCGCCCAGGAATGGTTAGTTTTGAGAACAGAAACACTTCAAAATCTTACCCTATTCACGGCTGCATGTCTCTTAGTTTTGACCCCGAAGGGTTATATTGCTCCAGGTACTCGTTCTAAAGTTAAATTATCACGGATGATTTGATTTTATTATCATAAATTCCTTATTCTTTTTACGAGTTTTTTGTTGTTGTTCCAGGACTTGTGGGACTATCTCTTTCGTATGCTTTTGCGCTGACTGGCACTCAGGTGTTTCTAACTCGATGGTATAGCAGCTTATCTAATTATATCGTTTCAATAGAAAGAATCAAACAGTTTATGCATATTCCTCCCGAGCCTCCAGCAATCGTGGATGACAAGAGGCCACCAACTTCATGGCCCTCAAAGGGGAGGATAGATATGGTGGATCTGAAGGTAATTAATCCAATAAACTAGGTCCGAGCAGAAAATTGTTCGTAAATGTATGAATAATTGGCTTGTGTGGAGCCCCAATCATGTTCCACAGAATAGAAATAGCTGATATATGCCCACGAAGGGACTAATTTTTATGTTAGAATGCAAAGATTTCTGAATTGTGATTCGAAGGCCCCTCCGAGTAATATGACTAAACTGCTGATGCAATCTTGTCATTCTTTTGCATGCATTCAGATTCGGTATCGGCCTAATGCTCCGATAGTGCTCAAAGGGATCACTTGCACTTTCAGTGAAGGGACTAGAGTAGGAGTCGTTGGAAGAACGGGAAGTGGGAAAACAACTCTGATCAGTGCGTTGTTTCGTCTGGTTGAGCCTTATAGCGGACAGATTATTATAGATGGGATTGACATTTGCTCCATAGGTCTAAGAGATTTAAGGTTAAAACTCAGTATCATCCCTCAGGAGCCAACTCTTTTCAAGGGAAGCATTCGGACAAATTTGGATCCTTTAGGACTTCACTCTGATGACGAGATATGGAAGGTAGTCTCAAGAACTTTTCACAAAACTTCCCCATTCACATTGTGCCCTTTTTGACAGTAAGACTGATTTACTGTCACAGATAGTTATATTCGGTACTGAAAATATCAAACTAATATTTAAAAGACCTCGAAAACAGTTCACAAAGAAGTTAGTTAAAAGTAACTTTTTAAGCTTGGCTAAATATGCTGTTAAGGTTATTCAAACGATGAATCTAATTAGCTCTTGATTTGCAGGCTCTAGAAAAATGCCAGCTTAAGGACACCATCATTCGGCTACCAAACTTGCTTGACTCTTCTGGTGAGTTCAACTTCCACAATAAAATCTTCCCTACTCCATATGACCAATAAACCGATAAGCTGTACAAATGCAATGCAAGTAAATTTGGTTTGAGTCTCACTAACTAATCGAGATCATTTGTGTGAATTCTTTCCAACAGTGAGCGATGAAGGCGAGAACTGGAGCATGGGGCAACGCCAGCTTTTCTGTCTTGGTCGAGTCCTTCTCAGACGAAACAGAATTCTAGTTCTCGATGAGGCAACTGCATCAATAGACTCTGCAACAGATGCCATTTTACAGAAAATTATAAGAGAAGAATTTGCCAACTGCACAGTCATAACTGTGGCACACAGAGTTCCAACAGTCATAGACAGTGACATGGTCATGCTCCTCTCTTTTGGTATGATTTCATATCTTTCATTTCATTACTTATTCATAAGTAATCGCCTTATGTTAACAAAAAAACTTCTCAAAAGTCGAGAGATGTGCAAAAATTTTCTCATTTCTCAGTGAGTTCATGTTCATCTATTGATAGACCTACAATATATCACACATTTTAGGCGTCGTAAAGTAGCACAACCGAGAACCTTTTGACACTCAAATTAAATCGTCACATGCATTTCATGGAAATGTGAATCATGTCAGATATATAGGCACCGGTCCAAGTTTCAAAATAAATTCTAACTTCATAAAGTTAGACATGTGAGGGTCACATGACGATTTATCGAAGATTTACGATTTCCATAATTGGAATTGATTGTGCAACTATAATTAAAGATAGAGAACTAACTTGCTACTCGAGCAATAAAGTAGCACCAAGAAGAGCAACTTAGCGATGGGAATGCATATAACTTTGTTAATGTCGGAGGATTTCTTATATGAATAGCTCATCAGTTACTATTATCTACTTCTTGATCAGTAAAAAACTCTCGAGTTCATGCAACTTAAAGCCCTCATAGACGTAAAACTTTGCAATCGTGGATGTCAAATTCAATAGATATAATAGAGATTCAAACTTCATTCTTCTTCCATCAATGTAACTATTTATGATGATTTTGAGCAAATTAATTAAGGTTTATAAAAACTTGCAGGGAAGTTGGTGGAATATGATGAGCCTTCAAAGCTTATGGAGATCAATTCATCTTTCTCTAAGCTTGTAGCTGAATATTGGTCCAGCTGCAGGATGGAATCCCCGCCCGATATCATAATAGAAAATGATGTAGCGGAAGCATAAGAAATGCTGAAGTATACGGGATCCAAAAATCGTTTATTCAAAAGAAAATTTAATAAAGACAGGTTGAAGATAAAGAATTCATTCTCTTTCTACTTAGGGTGTGTTTGTCTTCCATTACTGGGAGAAAAATAGAGTAATGAATAGTATTTTTTGGAGAATGTATTGTTGAAATTTAAAGTAACTTTATTGGATTGTGTGTAAAATATTTTATTGAGTGAATGTGTGGTGGAGAATCTTACTATAACCAATAATTGTTTGAAATAATGGTAGACAAACAGAGGCTTAATTATGGATGAAAAAGTCATTTTGTATTGTGTCGTGTGAGTTCAAATTTCATGATCACTTATAAATAAAAATGATTTGATATGTGATGTGGCATAAACGAAGATATAGATATGGTCTCTATTGATCGACCATCCAGACTGAGATTTCAATCAACTCGATAGATGACCGAGTTAATAATAATCCACCTTGAATCCATGTCTTTCTAAGTTTGGCTTCTTAATCTCAGAAATAGTTTTTAACTTTTTAAACGTTCTATTAAATGAATTTTTATTCAGTCATATTATTTCAAGAGATCTATAAATTTAAATATAAGAATATTATTATATTAAGTTCTGGAGAGTTCTAGAGGAATCATTTTCAAGGCGTCTGCCTTGAAAATTCTAATATTTTATTAATGATAAAAAGGCTTAGGGGGCTATGGGAGAAGCGGGCATTGAAGTGAGAGTCGTTCACTTCAGAGTAAGTCAAGGTTGATCTTTCCCTCATGATAAGCCAGAGATCAATGAATGTCAACTTAATTAAATAATTTCCTTTATAAAAGACCAAATTATGGAAACTAGGGAATATTCATTTTTATATTTTGCTAAACTAATATTTTTGTTAAATTGCCATAGTATTTTTTAATTACTTATATTATAATAAACTTGTCACTCTATAATTACATAAAATAATACGAAATTTAATGAGAAAAAAAACTATTGAAATTGTTGGCACGAGTGTTCTTGAAAATTAGTGGACATAAATTAATATTTACTAAGTCCCTTTTCAGCCCCAATTTTTTTGAACTCATTTTTTTTCAAACTCATTTTCAACTTTACATTTTTTGAGATTCACAATTTTTATCAACTTTTCAATCATATATTAAAAATCTAATTTTTTTGTCAAATCAAACAGGGCTAAATCCCTCATCAAAGTCGAATCGACTTCCATATTCATCATAATAAGTCACTTAGTTACTCGAAGATTCCTATTTTTCCTTCCTTATCAGTGTTTCATGAATCATTTTTGGTGCAAGAAAAGAGAAATTTTCTACTTTTCTATTTTCTTCTACATATAATACATATATGTACACAAACTAGGCATTAAACATGGGAAAAAATGATGAAATGAACATCAAGTTGTTAAACCTTCTTGACAACCATTTTTCTCCATCAATTTCCCTTCTTCTTCAAGAAAACCCCAATTCGTGGATACTAAACAAATTCCCTTTTATTTAATTCAACTCACAGAGCAAGAATTTTCCTCTCTCCAATCCACCATTCTTAGGTACCACACTTTCCGGTCCAGTTCCTCAAACACCTGCACCTCCCTAACAGTACAACGCATTGATGCACCAGCCACCGCAGTATGGCCATTGTACGTGCTTTTGAAGCCCCTCAAAACTACAAACACTTCATCAAAAGCTGTCGACTGGTGGGCCGTGGCAGGCGATGGCGGAGTCTGGAGCTTCAGCCATGTCACGGTGGTTTTCGGGCTGCCAGCTTCGACAAGTATCGAGAGGTTAGAGATGGTGGATGATGAAAGATTTGTACCGAGTTTTAGGGTTGTGGGAGGTGAGCATAGGCTTAAAGATTACAATTCTATTACATCGGTAAATGAACTATTGAATGAGGAAGAAAGGGCTTATACTGTTGTTTTGGAATCTTATGTTGTGGAAATAGCAGAAGGGAACACAAGAGAGGATACTAGGTTGTTAGTTGATACCATTGTCAAGTTGAATCTTCAAAAGCTTAGGGATGTTGCCGTGGCGTTCGTGCGAGGTTGCTGAGAATTTGACTCGTTGAGTATTTGTAACACTCGTCACGTATGAATATTTTAGATACATGTCTTGTGAATAAAGTATGTATTTTCTACAAAACATTATTTTTTTTTTTATTTTAAACCACTCCATGGCATGTATTATTAGTAGCAAAATATATATTTAATAAGAGCATCTTATGAGCCATAAATTGCACTAACATGTGTCACGTCACTCGAAAATATTCCATTACAAGAAAAACGGTGAATCTATTTACATCTGTCTTGTATATGTCAACAATTTCTCCAACTCACATCCCCATTGGTGCTTGTCACATGAATGACAATCCACATTGTTTCAATAGAAATGCTCTAAGTAAATAACAAGAACATTTTTATAGGTGTCACAAAATTTAAAAATACATCAAAAGTTACCACTTTCACAAATGGTGCTAAAAAACATCACTTTCTAGATGAGAAATGTCCAAATCACCCTTAAATTAATATGCCTTTTAGGGATCATTTATTGATCATTAATACCATGGTGTGATATTTTGAATTGTTTATTAGAAACAATTATGATACATTGGGTAATATGAATTCTTAAAAAATAAAAAAACAACAAATTCATATGAACGTGTAAACGAATTTTCATACACAAAAAATCCCAACTTTCTTCACATCTCCATTTCAAGGACAAGAAGAAATTATTAGTGGATTCGTATTCCATTTTGAGAGGTTAGTATTTACAAATTGTTTATGTTTTTATCTTATAACTTACTATTTTTGAATCGTTAAATACAACGTGGTCATATG